AAATGATGGGAGTCATCTTCAGACAAGATGTAATAGAGTCCCATGTTAGGATGGCTGCTGTTCTTTCAAACATTGCAGGTTTTCTCAGAACCTTAGCCAGAAGTGTTGAGCTTTAATCCCACTGGTAATTTGTGTTATAATTTAGATTACGAAAGAGCGTCACTAAAGTGTATGTCGTCCATCCTAATCTTTGGCTAAAAAGTGTCTTCCGGCTTTGTCGTCCATTCTTAAGGTAATGATCTTTTTATTCTGTGGTAATGATCTTTTTATTCTGTGGTAATGATCTTTTTATTCTGTGGTAATGATCTTTTTATTCTGTGGTAATGATCTTTTTATTCTGTGGTAATGATCTTTTTATTCTGTGGTGATGATCTTTTTATTCTGTGGTAATGATCTTCTTATTCTGTGGTAATGATCTTCTTAATCTGTGGTAATGATCTTATTCTGTGGTAATGATCTTCTTATTCTGTGTTAATGATCTTCTTAATCTGTGATAATGATCTTTTTACTCTGTGGTAATGATCTTTTTATTCTGTGGTAATGATCTTCTTAATCTGTGATAATGATCTTCTTATTCTGTGATAATGATCTTTTTACTCTGTGGTAATGATCTTTTTACTCTGTGGTAATGATCTTCTTAATCTGTGATAATGATCTTCTTATTCTGTGATAATGATCTTTTTACTCTGTGGTAATGATCTTTTTATTCTGTGTTAATGATCTTCTTAATCTGTGGTAATGATCTTATTCTGTGGTAATGATCTTCTTATTCTGTGGTAATGATCTTCTTATTCTGTGGTAATGATCTTCTTATTCTGTGGTAATGATCTTCTTATTCTGTGGTAATGATCTTTTTATTCTGTGGTAATGATCTTTTTATTCTGTGGTAATGACCTTATTCTGTGGTAATGATCTCCTTATTCTGTGGTAATGATCTTCTTATTCTGTGGTAATGATCTTCTTATTCTGTGGTAATGACCTTCTTAATCTGTGGTAATGATATTCTTAATCTGTGGTAATGATCTTCTTAATCTGTGGTAATTATCTTCTTATTTTGTGGTAATGATCTTCTTATTCTGTGGTAATGATCTTCTTATTCTGTGGTAATGATATTCTTAATCTGTGGTAATGATCTTCTTAATCTGTGGTAATTATCTTCTTATGTGGTAATGATCTTCTTATTCTGTGGTAATGATCTTTTTATTCTGTGGTAATGATCTTTTTATTCTGTGTTAATGATCTTCTTAATCTGTGGTAATGATCTTCTTAATCTGTGGTAATGATCTTCTTATTCTGTGGTAATGATCTTCTTATTCTGTGGTAATGATCTTCTTATTCTGTGGTAATGATCTTCTTATTCTGTGGTAATGATCTTCTTATTCTGTGGTAATGATTATCACATTAATTGAGTACAGCCCCACCCCTCGAAATAACAAACTAATTAGTTCTACTATATTTTAGCTCTAACTTTGCAAGAAAGTTGAAGTTTGTGAGTACTTTGAAAGAATTATCAAGTTACGTCAAAACAGATTTTATTTATATTCCTGATGAAGTTACAAGGTGAGTTGTCTTGTCTCTCTTACAACGTGCTCATGCATTCGTCGCATCATTTTCCGTTTCTCATTTCAGGGTTGATCCAGATTACCGGAAGCTGCATGCCAGCTAGGTAATATTTTACATTACAGCCAGCTGGTTTTGTATACTAAGAACTGATTTTACAGTAAATCATTGACTGCTGATTGTCGGGTCCTGCTGTTGGGGATTTTCTTATTCTTTTAAATCCATATTTAATTAACGCATATTACGAAAAATTTCAATGTAATATAATATACATATTTTTAGACCGTATTTTAAATTATGAATGATGGTACAATTGATAATTATCATACAATATTATTTAGCAACCAATAAACTTTTCTTAAATTTGAAAGAATTTAAAGCGTTTTTTGCTCTAAATATTACATTTACACATGAATTGAACGCAAATTTACTGAAATCTACTGACACTACACACACAATTGCCACGCCCCATAGAGTTTGGCTCTTTTTGACTTGTATTTTGATCTTGAGTTTGGCTTTTTGTCCCAGAAACCGTTAGAAAACTAGCATCAGAAAACCGCAACCTCGTACCGAGGTTGAGAAAACCGTTGGCTTTTTGGCGGAAAAAATTGTAATGTTTGGAGAAGACAAGATGGCGTTGGTTTTCTTCGTGTCATCAAAGGCACAGAATATTCTGTGTCAAAGGGCATTGTTGTTTACAAATAACCGCTTATTTTACGTTGCAGCGACTGGTTAGTTTTGGAAAATGTAACTCAATCGACAGGGAAAACGATTGTGTAGTAAAGAGAAAAATACGTGGAGTTATTGTGATGTCTTATTTGTTGAAAAAATCGCTGTACTGCTTTATAAAAAAATTCTACTGGCAATTCGACCATGGATAAGGAGACAGCGCTTGCATGAAAGAACAGCTTGTCTTAATGGTAAGTTTTTAAAGGGTTTATCAAGATGAAGCTCTTCCCGAGTTCCCGACATCCCTTGAAACTTTACTTCGTTTAAATTTTGAGTAGAGACAGTAGAATTTTGGCTATTATATTATAAACGTTGTTTTATAATCTCATTACTACCCGGTTCATGCCTATTTCCTTTTGTTCTAGTTTACACAAGCATAAAATAAAATTCTCAGTAACTATAAAGCTTTAGAATTATGATAATGATGGTCATTTTAATTAAAAATAATTTAATTTTAATTAAAGAAGATAATTTTAATTAAAAGCGTCATCTATTGTTTGAATTGCATTCCGCGACCGAAATTATTTTGTATTTTAAATTCCCTTATGGAGGCTTGACCAATCAGGGAGATTCTTTTGTAAATACCCACCAATCAGAAGTCTGTATTTTAATGTTTCAAATTTAGGGCGGGCTAGTGCCAGAGGCAGAACTGGTATTTTCTACTATTTTGCCGTTGCCTCGTGCTGCTGTCGTGCAGTTTTATATATCTCGCAACACAACGTTTAAATAGAGCAAAGAAGCACGAAATCTGAAGTTAAAGACAGGATTAAGGGATGTTATATCAATTTGATAAAGAAACGATGAAAAAGGTGAGAAAATTTTAAAATTTCCTGAGTTAATTCAGACTTTGAACAACCGACATTTTTAAACGCAAAGTGCGATGACAAATACTGTATATATTTACAGTAAATAATCACAGCACTGAAAAGTCATCAAAAGGCGATAAACGTTTTGAATATTCATGAAGTGAGAATTCTAATTCCTTTTGTTTCTGTTGAGAAAACAACGGATTTGGGGCGAAAATATTGTATGCGAATGCAGGTTGTTGTAAAATGTCGGACACGCGGTTTCTCTTCTGAAATCTGACTCTAAAATAACAATTTCTTTTTTTAGTTTGAAATAACTCCTTTACAAGGACCAATTGTATAAAAATATAATCAGTGTGCTCAAATAAAATGAATAATCTAGTATTTAGGCATTTTAAATTGCTGTAAAAGAATGAAATAAGGTCTTTCATCTTTGGTTGTTTGTCAGACAAGTGTGAACAATAATACACCTTGCGCATGCAGTTTCAAAAGATAAACACCTAAAAATATAGCTTTTTTTGTTTCACAAAGCATCCTACAGAATGAGTCCAAAACGACTAAATTAGAATTTTGGAAACATTAATTTCATGGCTTCCCGCAAAAGAAGCCATTTCGGAGAAAGGCATTCCGTGGTAAACCTGTCGTGACCCATTTCAGAACTTTTCCTTCAGGTAATCGAGCAGTACTTCTTAGGAAATGAGCGTGCATTAACTTTATGATGTGCTTTATTGATTTAAAAATTTTATGAGGATATATGAAGCAATAAAGAGTATTTTGGAAGCTTTTCAAATCCCTGTCATGTAGTTTGGGAATTTGCACGCGCCAGGTAACAGCATACGCGGTTTTCCCAATTATCTTGAGGTCGCAATTTCCCAATTTGGGTCAGCCAAAAAATAGTTAAAAACATGTTTATAACTACATTTGCTCAAAATTACTCCCAAAATGCGAGAAATACCATTGTAAAGACACAAAAATTTTAAAAATCGAGAGGGGGCAACCGCATGCCCCCAGACCCACAAAGAAATGCCCGGCTTCAGGCTAAAATAAATTTCCCCAATTTCAGGTAAACACAGATTTTTTTTCACCATGGCTATTCGTACTGGAACAGTACGCCGAGTTTGATTTGCTATTCGTACTGCAGTCGTAATATTTAAGATAAACCTGACCCCAAACCCTTCTCTAACCCTAACCAATAAAGGTCTAATAAACTATTTGAGAGTTAAAAAGAGTGGGGGGAAAAAATTAAAAATATTTTAAGAAAAATTTCTAAGTCAACAAAAGTCTGACGGCTAAAACTAAGCACGGAAAACTATATTCCAGGCACGGATTTTCACCCCCAGATATTTTATCCACCCCCCAAACGAAAATATGAAAATCCGTCTCTGCTATATTCTATATCAACACAAGAATATATTTTGGGTGTAAAACTACTGAACATTCCTATAAAATGACAACAACAATTTATTTCGCACCACCAAGTAAAGTAACATTACATAATTTTTTTTAAATATATAAACATTATGGCACAAGTCACCAGAAATAGTGAAGACTAAACCAGTCTAGTGACATTTTACATGCTACAATTATATAAGTGCTCAAGAGTTATATCGAATATTTTGAGATTTGAAAGCTATTGCTTTCAACTATTATATGCCATTGGTTTTGGGAATAAATGCTTTGTATGTATGAAAATAGGTACGCATTGTGTACACGTGGCAAGATCATAGCATGCATGGGCAGTGGCATTTCAACTTTATTATTTTTCCAACGTCTCTGTGAGACTTTGAGTCATTCAACATGAACAGGTAGTACATGTAAAAAGAAAGGCGCCGCTTTTTGGGTGTACTGTTTGTCTATGTTGAGTGGCTGGAAGTCTTGCAGGTATCTTGGGATATCTAATAAAGTTGTGATGTTATTTCAGTGCTGTTTCTATAAAAGGGCAGCTGGTATGGGCTAATATGCCTTGGCCTGAAAAAATTGAGTTATTTTTCACATAAAACATTTTAAGTGATGTTTCCATAAAGACAGCTTGCTTTGGCTATATGCCTTAGCCAAAAAATAACAACTATGGTGTACTATATTCATGGACTGCATGCTAAAAGTTTCTCTTGACTGTTAGAATGGTCACTTGAAAGGATTGGCACATTTAAATATCTACAAGTGCATTAGATCTCTTAGGTTCTAGTTTAAGACCAAGATGAGTGAGTAACTCGACTAGCTAAGATAATTTAAGGCATCAAGCGTGAAATCCACGCATAAGAGACCCCTCAGGATCGGACCCCAAACCTTTTTTCAACGCCAAATATGAAATTACCCCCACCTTACCACATCGTTGGAGAATAATGTTGGATATCCTTGGCTAATGTGAAATACCATGAGGGATATCGTGGACAAATGTTGCAATATCAGACGTTAATGTGGAACATAGGAAGCACACAATCGGAAGTTAAAGACAGGAATTACGGTATGTTCTATCAATTTGAATTTGCCTCAACGCCTTGTTGAATGAGTTCAACAAAGGATCAGATTCGTGAGAGGATTGGCCGCGCGCGATGCATGTTTTAATTTAAAATTGTTCAAATTTTAATACAGTAGCAAGCATGAGAATTTCGGGTGCGGACGCAATTTCGTTTTGCCTGATGAACTAAAAAATGGTTGAAATTTTAATACAAGTTGCATGAGAGTTTTGGCTAGGTTCGTGCGTGGTTTGAATTCGCCTCAACGTCTTGTTGAATGAGTTCAACAAAGGATCAGATTGGTGAGAGGATTGGCCGTGCGCGCTTTCAAATTTTAATACAGTTGCGTGCATGAGAGTTTCGGCTGCGGAAGAAATTTCATTTTGCCCGATCAACTTCAAAATGGTTGAAATTTTAATACAGTTGCATGAGAGTTTTGGTTTAATTTTTTTTTCTGACAATGTGTTTGTTTTTGTTATTTTATACTGATGTATGCCCCAAATGAACCCGCGCAAGACAACAACTCTGAAGGTAAGAGTTCATCTTTATTGTTGACATTATTGTCAGTTTATGACGCCTCCCCAACTTTGAAATGGTTCAAATTTTAATACAGTTGCTGATGCATGAGATTTTCGGGTGCGGACGTAATTTTGTTTTGCCTGAATCAACTTTAAAGTGGGTGAAGTTTTAATACAGTTGCATGAGAGTTTTGGCTTGGCGCGCATGGTTTGAATTCGCCTCAACGTCTTGTTGAATGAGTTCGACAAAGGATCAGATTGGTGAGAGGATTGGCCGTGTGCGCTTTCAAATTTTAATACAGTTGCGTGCATGAGAGTTTCGGCTGCGGAAGAAATTTCATTTTGCCCGATCAACTTTAAAATACGTTTGCACGAGAGTTTTGGCTTGGCGCCCATGGTTTGAATTCGCCTCAACGTCTTGTTGAATGAGTTCGACAAAGGATCAGATTGGTGAGAGGATTGACCGTGTGCGCTTTCAAATTTTAATACAGTTGCGTGCATGAGAGTTTCGGCTGCGGAAGAAATTTCATTTTGCCCGATCAACTTTAAAATACCGGTTTGCACGAGAGTTTTGGCTTGGCGCGCATGGTTTGAATT